GGGGTCGCAGCTGCCTCTGGAAGGCACCGAGATGTACCTTTTTCGCGCAAATGGTCAAAATCAAGGTTTTGTAACGCGAGCTGTGCCACAGTGAAATGGCACTAGCCATAAAGCCCCCCTAAGAGCAGCATCAGCAAGTACCTCGCTCCCCGGCTCGGCCTCGGCTCCACCTCCTGTGGCCCTGGTGTGCTCCAGTGCTCGCTGCTGGCTCGTTGTGCGAGCGTATACGCAATACGGCTCCCTCCTCACTGCATCTCGAACTGGATTCCCCGAATTGATTTTCCTAGCGTCGTCAAAGTGAGCTGAAAGCTCGCTCGAAGAGCCATCCGATGATTTTTTCAGCCGTCCAACACAGATGGCAGGACGCCAATAATTAATTAACCCAATCATCACGCCACACCACTTTGGCGACTTTTCATTGGGACGCGCGATCGATCGGCCGAGAATCGAGATATGGCAGGCGAGGGCGTCACGGCCATGATCGTGGCTGCCGACGACGGCGAAGGCATGTCACCAGGTACCACAAACGTGTCGCCCAGCGTGTCTCAGCCAGAGGCGCCGCACGTGGACGCGGTGATGCGAGGCGACGAAGCGGCGGTACGTTCGTGGCTCGAGAGAGGCGGGCGAGCAAACACCGCACACGAGAATGGCGAGGTAACCGGCGTTTCCCTGCTGATGGACGCCGCCTGCCAGGGCCACGAGCGGGTGGCCGCCTTGCTGCTGCAGCACGGCGCTCAAGTCAACCTGCAGAGCAGCGAAGGCGCCACCGCGCTTATGCTCGCCGCCATTGGCGGCCACGAGCGGGTGATCGAGCTGCTGCTTCAGCGCGGCGCGGAGATCAACAAGCAGAATAGCAAAGGTCGCAACGCGCTGATGGGCGCCGCCCGCTACGGCCACGAGCGGGTGGTCGAGCTGCTGCTGCGGCACGGTGCGGATGCCAACATGCAGAACAGCAACGGCGGCACCGCGCTGATGTACGCCGCTGGCAACGGCCACGAGCGAGTGGTCGAGCTGCTGCTGCAGCGCGGCGGGGAGATCAACCAGCAGGGCAGCAATGGCAGCACCGCGCTGATGGCCGCCGCCCAGGAGGGCCGCGAGCGAGTGGTCGACATGCTGCTGGAGCGCGGCGCGGAGGTCAACCTGCAGAACAACATCGGCCTCACCGCGCTGGTGCTCGCCGCCGGCAAAGGCCACGAGCGGGTGGTCGAGCTGCTACTTCAGCATGGCGCGGAGATCAACCTGCAGGAGAGCAAAGGTCGCACCGCGCTGATATTCGCCGCCGGCAGCGGTCACGAGCGAGTGGTTATCTTGCTGCTTCAGCGCGGCGCGGAGGTCAACCTGCAGAGCAGCGCCGGCCGCACCGCGCTAATGCTCGCCACCCGCAATGGCCACGAGCGGGTGGTGTACTCCCTGCTCCAGCGCGGCGCGGATGCCAACCTACAGGACAGCATCGGCGGCACCGCGCTGATGACCGCCGCCCAGGAGGGCCACGAGCGAGTGGTCGACATGTTGCTTCAGCGCGGCGCTGAGGTCAACAAGCAAGACGGCTACGGCGACACCGCGCTGATGCTCGCTGCTCTCAAAGGCCACGAGATGGTGGTCGAGTTGCTGATTCGGCACGGCGCGGAGGTCAATGTGCAGGGCAGCCGAGGCCTCACCGCGCTGATGGGCGCCGCCGGCCAAGGCCACGAGGGGGTGGTCGACGTGCTGCTGCGGCGCGGCGCGGAGGTCGACCTGCAGGACCGCAATGGCGGCACCGCGCTGATGGGCGCCGCCGCCAGCGGACACCTCCCCATCATGCTCTGCCTGCTGCAGGCGGGCGCGGATACAAAGCTGCGCACTCAGAATGGCCGATCAGCTCTTCAGATGGCCAAGGAGGCCAAGCCTGCGACTGCCGACGCCGCCGGCGCTCCTCCAAAGGACCACGCCGGGTGCGCGCGCGCTCTCACAGAGCATGCAGCGGCGCTGAGGGAGGCGGAGGCGGCAGAGAAGGCGGCGGAGAAGGCGCTCGAGGCCAAGAGGCGGCGCGAGCAGCGCGAGCGGGAGGAGGAGGCGGCGGCGCGAGAGCGCGAGCATACGGCACGACAGCGCGAAGCAGAGCGAGCGGCGGACGAGGCGCGGCGAGCGGCGGACGCTGCGGCACTGGAGGAGCAGAAGCGAGCGATTGCGGCGGAGACGGAGGCGAAGCTGGCCGCTGAGCGCGCGGCGGCAGAGGAGACGCTGCGGGCGAGGAAGGCAGCGAGGCAAGCAGTAGAGGAGGCGCAGCTTGCGGAGCAGCGGGCGGCGGCGGCTGCACGCAACGCGGCTAAAGCAGAGGCGGAGCGGCGCGAGAAGGAGGCTGCGGACAGGAGGGCGGAGGAGGAGAAGGCAAAGCGGCTGGCGAAGGCGGCCGAGAAGAAAGCGACTAGGAAGGAGGGCAAGGCGAAGAACAAGGAGGCCAAGAAGGCGCCGCCTGCCTTCAAGCTCGAGGAGGAGCGGAGGGCGAAGGCTGCGGCCGATGTCCGCGAGCAGGAGGAAAAGGCGGCGCGGTTGGCTGCTGAGCAGGAGGCGGCGAGGCGATCGGAGCGCGTGGCTGCCGAGCTAGCGGGAGCGGCGGAGCAGGCGGCGCTGCGAGAGGATGCGGAGCTGGCAGAGGCGCTACGCCGCGGTTGTGGCTAGTGGAGGGTGCTGTACAATCCGAGGGCGTTCCCATGCGATGGCCTCACGGGCCCGGGCGAGGATCGTGGCTCGAAAAATCAAAAAGTACCATCCGTGGGGGCGAGATTTTTACTTGTCAAGCTCGATTTTGACCCAGAACTAGACAGAACGGCCCCAAATCGGCCCGGAACCGACCCGTGGGGGCCCGTCTGCCGCACCCAGCTCCGATGCGCGATGGGAGGGTCGCGCGCCGTTCCCCGCGGCTCGGGCGGGCCACGCAGACGCGGCGGGAGAGCTTCCCGTGCCCTGTGAGTGCCGCCACACCGCCTCAAATAGGTTTGCTAAGTGGGGTTTGCCTCAAAGTGCGCAAACTCTGAGTCATGACAGCACGCTTTCGAACACAACGTAAACCCGCTCTACGTAACCACCGCCGCGGTGCGACTGTACTCACAGTCAACCATTCATTCGCCTCCGGCTCCGCACACGGCGGCAAGTGTTGGCTGTTGCCGCCTGACCCTGCCGATTGCCCCACAAGCTTGCGCGAGGGCCGCAAAAGCGAAAGGCTCCTCGCAGCGGTCCTCGACGCGCCGGCTGCATTCTCGACTCTCAACATGCCTGGTACGGGGGATGCGCAAACAGAGATGTCCCCTGGCGGTCTGCCCCTTCCCTCTCCGCCCCAACGCCGCCGCGGCGCTCGGCCAATCAGTCGATCGGCTCGGCGGCGGGCGGATCGGCGGCGATGCGCCCACAGCTCGCGCTCGGGTCGCCTAGAGGGAAGACCGGCGCGAGGCCTTGAGGCAAAACGGTATGTGCAGCCGGGTGTGTGCGGCTCGTGGCTTGGCGCTCGCCGTATGGAACGCGAGCCAGCTCGCCTTCGGCCGCGCCGAGCCACGCGGGGGTGCCCTCCGGCTCATGCAGCACGAGAGCCGAGGACGAGGCGACGCCACCGCCGAGCGGCCGCGGGGAGGCCTCGGTGAACGGCGGACGCACACTGCCCTCGTCCGCCCCGCTCTGCTTGAGCGTCGCCGCGACATCGAATGGGCGCAGCGTGCAGGACGTCTTGCCCTCCTTGGCCGCAGCGGCAAAGATCACCTCGAGGCCGGCGGAGTCGGACGCGACGTGGCGCGTGCCGTTGACGTGGTATTGGACCTTGTCCACGCTCAGCTCGAGTGAGCTTTTGAACTCCTGCTGGATCGCCTCGAAGCTCACACCCTTCGCAACGACTGCGGCGAAACACCCTGCGATCTTCGGGTGCTCGAGGTAGACGACGTCGATGGGAGCCTTGCGGGTCGCTGCCGCGCGCGGCTTCTTGGGCGGCGCCTATGCGCAAACAGCCAAGCGCCCCGTGTCGCGGTGCGCGGTGCGCGGCACGGGGCATCCTCTCTCCGGCGGCGGCGCCTTGGGTGCCTTGCTCTTCGCCGGGCGCTTCTTGGCCCCGCCCTTCTTCGGAGCCTACGGCGGCGTCGCAACGGCGTGTTTGGGAGCGCCGTGCGCGGGTCGCACGCACCGCGCGTGCTGACGCCGGATCCTCGCCGCCGCCGCCATCCCCGTCGCTCTCGTCGTTGTCCAGGTCGACGGGCTTCGAGGCGGAGCGGAGGACGCGCTGTGGGCTCGCGTTCTCGGCGGACCGACGCCG